CTGCCGGGAGGGTAATTAAACGGGATGCGCCGCAGCCGGCAAACAGATGGCGTCTGCTTGCTCCGAGGCCGCCGGCAAACAGCGCAAAAGTCAATGCCTCCCGGGTCCCCCACCAGCGCCCCCGGCCCCACTCCTACTGGGCGCTAACGCCGGTGCTCCCAGCCCCCAACCTCAGCCTAACCCGGAGTCCCCACCAAAGCTAGCCCTCTAGACCCCACTGGTGCCTGGACGCAGGTGTGGGGGAATGGAACCAGTTGAGAATGTGGAAGGAAGTGGATTTTCCGTCCTGATCCCCTTCCACCAGCAGAGGTGTCAGCAAGTGATTCTGGAAATTCGTGAGGTAGGTGTACCTGCGTGGTTGTGTAAGGACCTCTTCTGCCCTCTGCCACCTCATTTGTCCCAGAGGACTGGCTTTATCTGCTGGGGTCCAGCTGCCTGCAGGGCCCCAGAATTACATGCCTGGATGAGTCCACGCCCTGGGGAGCATATGCTCTGTCTGGGTGTTTAGTCACTGAGAAAGTCTGTGGACATCTGGTTGTGCGTTCTGACATCAGATGGATGTCCCAGAATGAGGTCATGCTTACCAGACCCCAGAAAGGTCAATCCAACTTTCTCCAGATCTCTTCCATGGCCATGGGTGCCCAGACACAGCTTGCCTGTCTGAGGATGTGTCCAAAAGGTCTGCACAAAAGGTCACATGCAGGTGGCCCACCAGGTGTAACTGCGTAGGCCACCCCTTTCCAGACTGTTTCCTCCAAGTCAGAAAGGGCTAGCCCTGAATGATCTGGTGAAATCTGGCACCTGACTCAGTCTGTGTCTCCCTCCGTAACATGCACATTCACTCATATAAGCACCCCAGCTGGGGAGATATCAGAAGGGTGTGTCCTGGACTGGATAGGCTGTTAACACTAGGGAAGAAGAGAGAGACTCTCCTGTTCTAAGGGTGAGCAGACCACCTAGACTGAGTCCCACTGTCTAAGGAAATGAGGTTCCTTCCACACTAGTCAGAGAGGTGCCGGGACCATGGCCCTCAAGCTAAACACATTTCTGTATTTTGCTCAGGGTCCAAAATAATTTCTCAAAAACTTTGTTCGTAAGAAAGGGCTCCTGGGGTCCCCTAGCAAATTCTGATGGCAGTCCGGCTCTCCAACTCCTTGTCAGGGTGCAGTTATCACATACATTTCATTGGAATCACACCCTCAAGGTGTTGGAAAATGAGGTGTGGGTCCGACACTCTGGCAGTATATATTATCCCAGTTTCTCTCCTCCCTGTGGAAGTCTCTAGGAAGCTGACCCTTCCTGTCTCCCAAACCCACTCTCAGGTTCCAGAGGGAGTAACTTGTTAGAAGTGAACTTCCCAGTTTCTATTACTCTCACAAACTGGACAGGCTGGAGCATACTCCCAACCTGGCCTGGTGAACTTTCTGGAAGTTCTCCTTCCAGCTTTTCTCCACACCACCCTCTCCATTCGACCCCCTCTCTCTGCTTCCAGCCTCGGTTGGCTTTTTCTGGGAGAGCTGCCCTGGCTTCGAGATTCCGCCTTCTGCGGAGGAACTCCGCGGTTAGCGCCCGGCCGTTACCCCCACTGCTCTGCCCCCCCACCCCAGTCCGATGCACCTGGGCTGGCAACGCGCGGCCCAGTAGTCCTGCCAGGCCGAAGGGCCCAAGGTCCCCGGCCGAGTCTGCACACCCAATAGGTCCGCGCCCCAGAGAGCGAGAGCCAGAGGCTCTGGGCCCTGGAGTTTCAAAAGAGCAACGCGGTAATGCAATGTCGGGATTGAAGAGAGAACGACCGGGACGTATATTTTTCCCTCATTAATTAAACGAATTTTCTTTCCTCTGAAGCAGAGAGAGAAAAGTGGATAATAAAAACGAGAGTGAAAACACACTGGCACGGGGAAAGACAGAAAAGGCACAGAGAAACAGAAACGAAGACGATCTCGCCAGAGGACGGCAACATTAATTCCAGATGTTGCCTTTTAAAAGGGAAACAAAATTTGAAACCTGTTACCTCTTTTGCAGACCGAACAGTTCCTCGGGGCCGTGACGTCAGGACGGGAGAGTAAGGAGAAAGTTAAAACTACTCCTGGGGGTCCTGGGCGACCTTGTCTCTGGCCTGAAGGACAAACAGACGGATGCGCGTCCTATGTCCAAGAGGATGCAGAGAGACAGAGAGGGCACTTTTTACTTTCGTTCAAAAAATAAAACTAAACTGTTCGTCAACTTAGCAACGACAAAGAAAATATACCACCACCACGAAAAGAAATAGAGGTGCTGGAGAAATAAGGAAGTGAAAGAGCAAGAGTGGGCAGAGGGATGGGCCTGGGGGGCGGGGAGAGGAAAAGCGCAGAGCGCAAGGGGCGCGGCGGAGCCGTCTGGAAGAGTGATCTCTTTTTTCTCTCTGTTGTCTTCTCTTTGAAAACGAAAATCATCCTAAGCCACACTTACCATCCGTGATAACCTATCGCATTAGGACTTTTTAAATAAAGACCTGCGTTTTAAAGGTATGGGGGGAAAACCAAAACAGTATCACCCAATCAAACACGTCGAACTTGGAAACACGCCGAAACAGAGCCGGAAGGAGGGGAAAAATCGTCTTGGAATTTATGCCACGAGCACCCTCCCTTCCCACCCCGCGCCCCCATTCTACCCCCACCCCTTCTGCGGTAATTGAATTGTCACCTGCCCCCCTCCCGCCCCCCGCCGCAAGGGCCACTTGGGAAGCTCGGCCTTGCCAAGCGCCCCCGGCCAGAGAGAGCCGCGCAGTCGAGCCCGCGCCCAAGAAGTCGAGGGGTTACACACGTTTCCGTAGAAGCACACCGGACACAGTAAATAGGCGCAATTCACACGCTCTCGGGTGCACGGAAACTACTTGTCACGATATTTTCAACGCTCCTCCTAGCCCACTTTTTTCCATTCCTTCCCCGGCGCGCCCCCTCCCCTCTCCGAGGCGCTCAGCGGAGCTTTTGGAGTTTCGAATCTTTCGGACACTGTAGAATGCGGGGCTCCCCGGGCGCGGGCCCGGCCAATCAGAACGCCGTGTGCCTCCCCTGGCCAATGGCAGGCGCCACATTGTTGTCCAATTCTGTCTAATGGAGCCCTAAGGAGCAACAATAGAGCGGGCGAGCTGCTCATTGAGAGTCTGGCAGCGCCGGGCAACTGGGGCCCGGCTGTGCGCAGCGTCCGGCGCGCTCCGCGAGGGGACGCGGCGCGGCGAAGGCCGGGTCGCGGGTGCCAGCCAGCCGGTCCCGAAACGGTCCCCTGGCTCCGGTTTCCGACGGAAGGGTTGGACTGCGCAGTGTTCTGAGGGGTCCGGAAGTTCGGACATGGTGACCGAAGGAGAGTGACGTGGTCAGATAAGGGGCCGGGGGGGCCAGGGGAAAGAGGCCAAGAGCGCCAGCGTCGGGAGCGGAGCTGGGAGGCGCGTGCAGCGCCAGCGGAGAAGGAGGATCCCGAGTTCAAGTCAGGTAGTTGAGGGCCGCAGGTGGGGGTGGGGGGCAGCGGAGGCGGCCCGGCCAGAGGCCGGGTTGACCAGACCCAGGCCGTGCCCGCCTTAGGGACTGCGCGGCACCGGGGGCCTGAAAGAAGAGCAGTGCGAATTGGGGGGAGGGGGTCCTAGGATTTCTGGGCGGGGACACTAGGATTCGTTCCCGGTTTCTGGCGGGGATCAGGGGACTCTGAGGAGGCCTCAGCGCAAGCTTGGAGCTGGGCCTGCTAGGGCCTTCTCGGGTTGCGGCGCGCAGGTGGGACTCCCGCATTCGCCCAGAGCCAATTCCAGAGGCGACCCCTGGCCCCCCCTGGTGCTGCCTGCGGGGCCATCTAATACTAGGAACCCAACTTCGAGACCTGAACGCAGGAGCCTGCGCCCGAGCCGGGTCGGGGGGGGGGGGTACCCAGGCCCTGGAGGGCGTGTCCGACGACACTGTCCCAAATCTGAGAGGTGTGTGAGGAGATCAGCGAGAAGGATCCCCCTCCTGCAACACCTGACTTTTCGCAAGATACTCTTTCCTCCCAGAGAAGTCCAGGCTACAAGGCTAAAAATTGTGTCACAGATTTTACTCCATTCCCATCCCACCCCACCCCCCTTTTTTCTCACATAAGTCCCTCTTCCCGCTGGCAGCGTGGGTCCCAGACACCTCTGTCAGCTGTTTTGCGCTGTTTCCCTTGTTCTTCAAGCTATTCTTTGGAATGGGTTTCTATCCGTAGAAAGTTTCTTAGGTTGTGTTTTCTCTTTAACCCTCCTTCCTAGGCCGCCTAAACACTCCTTTTTCTTTCCCATTCACTCTCTGGAGGCCCGCACCATGGGAACTTGTAGCCCCCTCATTTCCACAGATCTCTGGGTCCCTCTGCCCAACTCTACTTCGGAATCGTTTGCTTTCTAGCCCTCACTCCACTTCCTAAAGCTATTCTTTCCTTTTCTGATTTTTTCTCTTAAATTGTCCTCTAGTCAGCAAAACAACCAAACTAACAAACAACCACAACAACCCCCCCAAAACCAAATAAAAACCCCAACCAAACAAGCAAACCCCCAAATCTCCGACTCTACCAGCCAAGTATAGAGCTTTGATATCGCTCGCCTACTTTTCACCCTCCCACAAAAAGGAACATTTTGCCTCCGGTTTTCCTGTTTTGCCTTTGGCTTCAGTCTAACTGTTGGGTCCAAATTTTGTTTCTAATCCGAATCCCACCAAACAAATATTTTCCTCAACCCGTGTCATCCCAATTACACTAAACTTTGGGGATAATATATTTTTTTCAAACCCTCTTTACATCCATCTAAAATAGTGACTTTCACATTTTATGTCTTTTTATTTTTTTCCAGCGGAACCACTGATTGTAACGAAATCTTGCACCAAGCGCATAAGTCAGATAGAAGAAGAAAAGCTCTGAGGGGAGTGGGTGGGGAAGTTCGACCTTACGAGGGGGCTCGGAAGACCTCTCCTGCCGGCAATTTGGCAGCCACTAGCCAAACTTCAGCCGCCGTAAATTCCCTCTCTTAAGCCTGGTTTCCTCGAGGGTGCGCTTTAGTGTAGCGCGCGGCGCGCTCCTCACCGCAAGTCTTCCCTCCTCTTCCCACCGTCTTCCGCGCCAGGTCCTGCCATGGAGCTGCGCTCCGAGCTGCCCAGCGTGCCCGGCGCGGCGACGGCGGCGGCGACAGCGACTGGGCCGCCAGTAGCGTCGGTGGCGTCGGTAGCGGCCGCGGCGGCGGCGGCCGCTTCGCTCCCGGTGAGCGTGGCGGGAGGCTTGCTGCGGGCGCCTCCGCTGTTGTTGCGCGCGGCGGAGAAGTACCCTAGGACCCCCAAGTGCGCGCGCTGCCGCAATCACGGCGTGGTGTCGGCGCTCAAGGGCCACAAACGGTACTGCCGTTGGAAGGACTGCCTGTGCGCCAAGTGCACGCTCATCGCTGAGCGCCAGCGCGTCATGGCGGCGCAGGTGGCGCTGCGCAGGCAACAGGCGCAGGAAGAGAACGAGGCGCGCGAGTTACAGCTGCTCTACGGTACCGCCGAGGGCCTGGCGCTAGCAGCCGCCAACGGCATCATCCCGCCTCGACCAGCCTACGAGGTCTTCGGTTCTGTGTGCGCCACCGATGGCGGGGGCCCGGGAGCAGGAACGCCCGCGGGGACCGGAGGAGGCTCAGCGGGCGCTGGAAGCTCAGGTGAGAATGCGGCCTGGCGGGGGGCGGGGGGACAGCAGAACTGGGCCCAGGGCCGCGCGACTTAGGGACAGGTCTCTCGTCCCGGTCTGATCTTCTCCAAAAGCCTGACTGCAGGGTGTCCACCGGTCACTCAGCCCCTCATTTCGGGCATTGAACACAAACTCTCCTTTCTTCCCTTTCTGATGTATTTGCACTTTTATCTCTCCGCAAGCCCAGCTGTAAACTCCGTCTTACCCTGCTCTTCCCATACTTGGCCTGTCTCAGCTTTTCTGCTCACTTCTCTAGGCCTTTTCCTCAGCGAGGAAAGCTGCCCGTCATATATTTTTTCTCTTTCTGCTCTTGTCCACACTCCTAGTTTCCCTGCACTATTTCCTCACTCTCTTCAGAAATCCCACTCTCTCCAAGCTCCCTCTTTCATCCCATAAAGCTTTTCTAGGTGTTGAGGACCCTCCTTCCTTACTTAACTTCTGGTTCCTTTTCTCTTTCCTATGTTGACAACTGCATCTGCGCCCTGCTCCCTTCTAACTTCCTATCCCCATTGCTGCCCCCCCTTTTCCTCTGAGTTAGCTTTCTCACTCCCCCTTCCCAATTCCCCTTACTCTTTCCTTTCTACACTCTCCCCAGCCCCACCCTCTTCTTCGAGACTCCCTTGACTTTTTCTTGAGAGTGGAAATTACGCAAGGGCCTTTGGGACTGCTACGCTTTCAGATTGGGAGGGAAGGACTTCTTAGCTCTTTCGTTTTGGAAAGGTTGGGTTAGAAGTAGATGCTCCACTTTTGCCTGTAGAGAGCATCTTGGGATGCCCAAGAAATTGTCTCATATAGCTATGTTGCCCAGGCCAGAGGACATCTGGACTGGCTTACCTCTTGGAATCACAGAGCTGGAGAGGGAAGGTGAAAGTTGTGTAGATCTTGGGCTAAGCTAGTTCTCCAGCACAGAGCAGACTTAGGGAGGGGATTAAGGGTAGAGGTGTGGGAGCACACATGTAGGAAGAAGGACACTGGACATTGAGTTGATAGGGTACAAATTATTGGGGTTCTGGGTACAGAAAGAAGGCAGGGGTGAAATGCTTCGGGGACTCAGAGAGGAAGGAATGTTGGCACAAAAAGAAAGAAGGGGTGCAGTTGCCCAATGAATGTGGGTTTTGGGGAAGGGAAGTGGGATCCCAAGGTCTGGAGTATCATGGGTGCTGTAGCTCCCCCCACTAATCTCCACTCATATCCCTTTCTCTCCCCTTCCCAGAGGCCAAGTTACAGAAGTTTGACCTGTTCCCCAAGACGCTGCTTCAAGCAGGCCGCCCTTGTAGCCCGCAGCCTCCGGGAAAGCCCTTATCACCCGACGGCGCTGACTCGGGTCCTGGGACTTCGTCCCCGGAGGTACGGCCGGGCTCGGGCTCAGAGAACGGTGACGGCGAGTCCTTTTCGGGGTCTCCCTTGGCCCGGGCCTCCAAGGAGGCAGGTGGCAGTTGCTCTGGTAGCGCTGGTCCAGGAGGTGGCGGCGAGGAGGACAGTCCGGGCTCTGCCAGCCCTCTGGGCTCCGAGTCCGGTTCGGAGGCTGACAAAGAAGAGGCAGAGGCTGTGCCTGCACCAGGCCTAGGCGGGGGTCCGGGTCCACGGCAGCGGACGCCGCTGGACATCTTGACGCGCGTCTTCCCGGGCCACCGGAGAGGTGTCTTGGAGCTAGTGTTGCAGGGCTGTGGCGGAGACGTGGTGCAGGCCATCGAGCAGGTGCTGAACCACCACCGCGGAGGCCTGACTGCCGGCCTCGGCCCCACCGCACCCCCGGATAAGGCAGCAGTGGGGGTCGTAGCAGCAGCGGACGACGCGTGGCCCGGCCGCGTCGACGCCGCCGCCACCGGAGGTCCTGGGCTGGCCGCACCTCTGCAGGCTGGTCCAGCCGCACCTCCGCACCACAGACCTTTGTTGGCTGGCGCCATGGCTCCTGGGGCGCTAGGCTCGCTGAGCAGCCGCTCGGCCTTCTCGCCCCTGCAGCCCAACGCCAGTCACTTCGGCGCTGACGCAGGCGCCTACCCGCTGGGCGCACCTCTTGGTCTTAGCCCGCTGCGCCTGGCCTACTCGGCGGCAGCGGCGCACAGCCGCGGTCTCGCCTTCATGGCTCCCTACTCCACAGCGGGCCTGGTGCCCACACTGGGCTTCCGTCCGCCCATGGACTACGCCTTTAGCGATCTTATGCGCGATCGCTCCGCCGCCGCCGCCGCTGTGCACAAGGAGCCGACTTACGGCGGTGGCCTGTATGGGCCTATGGTCAACGGTGCCCCCGAGAAGCAGTAGGGCGAGGGGCGTGCAAGCCGGGTGGCCTCCGAACAGGGACTAGCTTTGTCCCCGCGGGCCGCCAGCCCCTTCGCCCGCCCAGTGTGTTCTCTGCGCCCAGGCTGGGGTTTTCTTGCTCCAAGGTGGTTTTCGGTTTTGTTTTGGAGGCAGGGTGAGGAGAAATGAGCAACTGATGCGGATGTTCTCGGAGAGAACCGGATTCCTCATTCCCACACTCCTTCTTTAAGGCTCCCCAGCCCTACTAAAGGCCGGGAATTGTTGAGAATTCGGAGGCTGCGGCCGCTGCGCACGCTCCTGCCTCTCCTTTAGCTAGGCTCATCCCGCCCGCCCGCTCTCGCATATGGATGGCAGGATAGTCCGAGAGTCTGTCTTCTGTGTCTCCCCCTCCCTTATATTTTTTTTTAAAAAAAACATTTGCTCTAACAAATATAAATTTAGGATGTATAAATCTCTTGGCACTGAGTCGAGTCTTTGGGACACAACATATATATCGATATCAATTGTAAAAAAAAAAAAGGAAACAAGTTCTAAGGTGCACTTTCCTCGTTGCGGTATTTGTCGCTCTCTTTGTTGCTTATGCCGATAAGCATGGGTTTCCTTGGTGCAGTGTGAGTTTTTATATATGTATAAATCTATATATAATCTATACATATATATATACAAGCCAGTGTATAATGTTATAAAATGGAATTCTAAGTTATTAATTGTAACCTGTAGGTGACCTCCGTATTAACGTGGAAAATATTAAAAAGCAAGGATAAAAAAAAAGATAAAATGGAAAAAAATTAGATTATGCGCGCATTGTACTTATCAGGTTTTATAGACTAAATATATTGTAACCTCGGGACGAATCCTGCCCACCCGCCCCTCTTGCCTGCAGCCGGTAGACCCTCCGTCAGGAGCCGTCAAGGTGCGCACTGAAGCTGGAGCAGAGCGACGTGTGACTGAGCCAGAACCGCCCGCCTGAGGGCCCCTCCCCGCCTCCCGGGACTCGCTAAACGCGGAAGGGCCGACAGCGGCAAACGCTGCTGCAGAGAATGGCTCACTTTGTGCTTTCCTTTGCATAGACATGAGCTAGAAATAAATGTTATTTTCTAAGAAAACACGAACCCCGTCCCGCTTCTCAGGATTTTGGGTTGAAAAGTTCACTTCCCACTCGGGCCCTGGTGCCAGGCAGAAGCTTGACTGAGGCCGCCAGGTGCCCCGGCCCTGCAGGGTGCGGGATGAGGAAAGTTTCAGTGGTGTGTGGGCGGCCAGCGGGTCCGAAGGCCGCGCGGCTCAGAACGCGGGAGGAGCAGCGCTCGCTGCGCATCCGGCACCCAGTGTCCCCCGACCCCTCCCGGCTCCGGCGGCGCGAGGACTGCGGCGGGGTTGCCTCTGGACCTCGGGCCGAGGGTTCTTCGGAATCCTGGAGCCTGGCGGCAGGGTCCTTTTTCTCCGGGGTGCAGATTCGGGCTGGGCGCTGGTAGCACACTGAGCGCCTCTTTTTTTTCTGAGTGGTTGGAAAGCCGCAACGTCTGGGGAGGGAACGGAAAGACCGTTCTGGCACCTGGGCTGGGGCCTGCGAGTTATTTTGGGGTGGTGGGGGTTGATGAGAATGCTGTCCTGAGTCTGGGCAGGGAAACGAGGGGTGGCAGTGCGAAAGCGCCTTCCAGCCAGACCTCACCACGCACCCCCCTGGATCTCCCTTCTCCATGCCAGGCGGAGTAAATTAGCCGCTCCTAGGACAACCCCCTCCGTCAAACACATACGGTCTCTCCTGCTCCCTGCCCGGTGACTCCCCCTCTCCGGGAAATAGGGTGTCTCCTCCCCTAGTCTGAGCCCGGCATCCCAAGGTAAACTTCTGGGGCCGGCTCGAGTTCCGCCAGGCGGTGAAACTTAATAGCAGGACAAGAAAACGGTTTAATAAAGAAGGGCTTTAATAAGGAACTAATTTGATTGAGTTGCCTAATTCCACTTTAATTGGAAAGAGGTTTGGGTGTTTGGTTATAAAGTGCGAGGGTGACTAAGACGAGATGGAAGTGGGGGGAGAAGCAAGAGAAGATGGGGGTAAGAGAGAGAAAGACGGGGCAAGAAAGGGGATGAAGACAGGAAGGAAAGAAGAGGGAAGAGTTACTTCAAAGCGCAAAGCAGGGGAAGGTGGGTGGGAGCTTCTGGAAGTATGGACTTTCTTGCCCTGCTCAGGGCAATGCTCTTGAGCCTCGGATGCCTTCTCTCACTCCACACTTTCAGAGGCTTCTCCTGCTAGGCAGCCGCGTAGCCACTGCTGAGCTCTGCCTCATCCCACGAAGGTGAAGGTATGGATGAGTTGGGTCTTTAGGTTTCAGGAGGGGCCACACTGGGTCCAGGAAGCTCGTTGGTTCCTGATGCTCAAGCCAGACCCCAGGGGAGTGGACCTTTGGCCCCCACACCCACTGTCAAGAAGTTCTGGAGTTTCACAGACTCCAAGTTTATTTTTAGTTTAACCTCCCAGAAAAGCGGGGAGAATTCGGTGAGTTGTTCATTATGGTGTCAGTAGAGGAGGAAATGGAAATGGAGCTTCAGGGACTTGTACTCCTGGGACTCCTGGGTCTCCTCTGTCTCTGTCTCTGTCTCTGTCTCTGTCTCTGTCTCTGTCTCTGTCTCTGTCTGTCTGTCTGTCTCTCTCTCTCTCAAGTTTGGTGAGCTGTGGAAGTTCAAGGGGGTGGAGTAGCAGGCCACTCAGATTCCTCTCCTTCTACCCTGCTGGTGTTGGCTGCCCAGACTAGGTGATGGAAGCCTAGGGCATTTGTTGACAACGTTGGTGTCTAGCAAAATCTTACACCCACTAGTGCAGCTGAACCCACTGCCCACCATCCTGTGAAGAGGACAGAGGCTCAGAACCCCAGCAGTGCACCCAGGGCCCTGCACGCAGGCTCTGAGGAGCCCAAATCAGAGGCCAGCATGCACCAGTTGCTAGCTGAGACTGGTGGGAAGGGCGGGGACAGGTGAGTAGGTCTCTGGTTTGGGGAACTTCTGTGGTCAGTAAGGGCCTGGGGCTGGAAATCAGCTGGGATTCAAGGGGGCATGGAACTTGGGGTCCCCACACCTCCACAGATGCTGCTGGCTGCCAGCAGTGGGAGCATCTAGTCTTCTCTGAGGGTGTGGGTGGGTGGGTGAGGGTTGAGGGGGGCAGGGCAGGAGTTCCATCCTGACCTCTACTGTCCACACGCTGAGTCCTCAGCTCTCCTCTAAGTCTGCTGAAGCTTACTCTGGCCTGGACCTTGAGAGGACACAGATGTGGATCCCACAGAGGAGCCCTGACTGTTGGGGAGACAGTCATTTAAAATTCATTTACGTGATTAAATAATTTTAAGTAAATGATTAATTCAACAATATATAAGATACCATTCTATAATATACTACTTTATATCATCCTGAATAATTCAAGTAATTATTTTCGTTATCTTCTACTTCCTCCTCTTCTAACAACAGCAGCAACTCCACAGCCTTGAGTACCTACTGTGGGATACTTTGTGTACTAAGCAAGTTCTGCCCAGGACCCTGCTCCGTGGGTGAGAAAGAGCCAGGAGCTGGGCCCCAGGCTTTGTCAGTGGCTGGGGTTATACATTCACAGGTTACTTCAGTCAGTAAATATTTACTAAACACTTATTATATGTTCTAGGATACACAAGTGTGCAAGACAGGTGCTGTCCTCATGCTCTAAGTGCTTGCAGTGTGTTGGGGGTGGGTCAGCAGGGAGCAGACCCTGAAGACCACTGCCCAGCAATCAGAGATGCCTGCCAGGGTAGGGCAGATTAGGCAAGGCACTTCACCTCAGTTTCCTCCCCAATCAAATGGGGCTAATGTAGCCTCTGCTGCTCTGGTGCTATGAGGGTTGAATGAAATATGTAAAACACTTAGCTCAGTGTCTACTTTAGATATTCATTATGACAATTCTGTTCCTACTCACAGAGTAGACAACTCAGGAGAATTGAGTGACTATAACAAGTTCTGTTTACAAATCCTTTAAGGTGTCACAGGCTCTAGGAGACACCCTAGCCAGAACAAAGAGAGTAGGGTCACCAAACCACTATAGCTAAATCCAGAGGTGGCTGGTGAAGGAGTGAGAGGTCTCTAGAGGAGCAGAAAGAGCTGGAGGAGGTGGAGACCCTTTGGGATGTTGGACAGGTCAGAGGTCGGTTCCTTGGCAAATGGGAAAGGTGCCCTGGTTTCAGAGAGTACAGTGCACCCTTAGACAGCAGTGCTTGGTAACATGGAACTCTGGACAGATTGTTAGAGGCTGGTCAGACCCCTTTGAGGAAGAGCTATGAGACAGTAGTGCCAAAAAATGATCCATGGAGAAAAGAAGTTGACTTCAAGAATGCTGGGGTCTAGGCTCTGTGGTTGGTCCCACGTGAGAAGCAAGCCAGGAGGAAGACTCAGGCATAGGAACCTGGACTGGGTGACTCAGTGGGGAGGACTCTCACGAGTTGTGGGCCCCAGAGCGAGGCAGGATTGGAGGGAAAGGAAAATTAGTTTAGTGCTCAACATACAGAGTTTAAGGAGCTGGTCTGGTGGGCACCGAAGGGTAGAAAGAGCCAGTGTGTGGATGGCAGTGGGGTCTGGGGAGGGGCAGAGTGACCCAGCACTGCCCTTCCCACAAAAGGACACAGGACTCCCTCAGTGGAGGCCATGAGCCTCGAGACCTCAATGTTGGTGTTGTGTCTCAGAATTTCTGTTTATACAAGACACTGTCCTCCTAAAACCATCCTCTTAAAATGTAGCTCCTGTAAAGGTCATTGTCCTGGAGCATGACCCTTGGCACCTATCCCTGGATTTGTTGTGATGCCCAAGAAACTTAAGCTTCAGGGCTCCTCACCCATAAACATCTCCTTCGATCTGTCCCTGCCCTGACCTTCCTGAAGCTGTGGCTTTTCTCTCCCCACCCCCACCCCACGACTCTGTGCTCCTGCCACACTAAGCCCCTCAGACTCACCTGATAGAACATGCACTGCCCTACTTCTTTGCCCATGTGAGCCCTGCTTCCTGGAAAGCCATTCCCTTTCTCTTTCTATACTTTGAGGACCACCTTCACCTCCTCCAAGGCCCACTTTACAGGTGCATTTATTGTTATACCAATAGAGCTTGAACTGCAGGACTCGTCACCTGTCTAGGTGGCCTTCAAGGCCCAGCACTTTGCCCACACAG